TTAAATATATATATATAACAAAAATAATAATGATAAAATATATAATATTAATTGATTGATTTTAATATTTTATATTTTTTTAATGAAAATTAATTTTCAAAGCATTTAGCATTCCTGTTAAAGGGTGTCATCACCGTACACATAGGCTCCGCTCTAAAAATGTCTTATAATTTTTGATTTTTCACATTTTGGGAAATTAAAAAAAACATATGATTAATGCTTCCCGTGTGAGTATCCAACCATAATAATTATGTAATTTGTCGTCATAAAAATTGTGTCGATTTTAATTTTATTTTGGTATTATGAGTGGATTTATAGATCTTGTCTCACAGAGGAATTGTGTTATTTTGCTCAGCATACGAAATGAAATCTTAGTAACTTACTAAAAAACATGTTAGGAAATAAACTTGGATTCATTGTATGTATAAAAAAAAAAAGGAGTTTCCAAGTGAAATAAACTTGGGATTCATTGTATGTAAACTTGGGATCTTGTCTCATAGAGGAATTGTGTTATTTTGCTCTGCTTAATGCTCTTCTCTCTTGAGGAGTTGAGGTAAATGACAGATCTACATATAACATACATTTCATCTTAAGGGTACGTTAGATGGAACGGGGTGGAACAATACAGAGTAGGTAGAAGGTGGAACAAATTTTAGGGAAATGAGATTATAATCGTAAATTGCTAAACTATCAATGTCAAATTAAAATCCTAAAACCTTTCAAAACATGCACTAGACGACTAACCCCACATTCAAATCTACTCAATGTTTGCTTCAATTTAACAAACATATAACAAACCATTGACATTTACATACATAAACCGTTGAACCTTTTAACTATCATGTTCTCTTTCGTGGTTTTGTAATTGAGATTTTTTTTTTGTAATCAAATAATCATTACCTCTTTGCTGAAGAATTGCGATTAGTAGTTTTAAAGAGAGATGCACAAGTCTTTCAAGCCCGTTTTTAGTGAGTAAAAAAAGGACCAAGCTTTGTTAGGTCCTAGGCAAGTTTAGGGGTTGAAAGTCAGACCTATCCCAAGAATTTCGGCCAAATCAAGCTTTGGGGCTTGGCCCAGATCGAGCTTCAGGCTTACCAAACCCGGTCTTTTTCAAGCATGGTTTAGGCTTGGACTTTTTTATACATCTTTAGTTTTAGAGTAAACTACTATTTTCGTCTATATGGTTTATTAAAGATTATGATTTTTGTCCCTGTAGTTTTGAAATTTCTATTTTCGTGACTATGGTTTGTAAGTTATTGCTGTTTTCGTCCTTGACACTAAATTTATTAAAAATAATCCATTAGAGTTGGGTGTACTTTAGTCTTTTTATTTCCCCCCTTTTTGGTCTATTTAATATCTTTTTTGGTTTCGTTTTTGTTCAAAAAAATTATACTTTTTTTGATGAAATAAGTATGCGTTAAAGATTATATTGTTTTCCTTTCAAAAAAATAGATAATTAAATATTTTTTCACATGTTTCGTTTTTTCATATTTTTGTCAGTATAGTTTATTTTCTTATTAGATCAATTTTTGTCTTTAAGTCATTTAAGTGCAAGTTGTTAATTACCATTCTCATGATAGTATTTTAATCTCTTTTTTCATTAGGGATCATAAGAAACTAAAACTATAATGACAAAAAATATAAAAAAAAACTAATTGTATTAAAAATATTTAATTATTTTATCATAAATAATGACAAAATAATATAATTCTTTAAATATTGTTTTCTTTTATCAAAAAGTATATAGTTTTATTTAATCAAAGAGATTAAAATACCAAAAAAGAAATCAAAAAAATATATTTAATAAACCAAAAAGAAATTCAAAAAGACTAAAATACCCTTTAAGTTAATGGATAATTTTAAACATATTTAGTATGAGGAACAAAAACAACAATAAATTACAAATCATAGGGATGAAAATCACAATTTTTCTCAAACCATAATTTACTCTTAGGGGGTGTTTGGTGTATGTAGAGGAATGAAAAAGGATATGAAAATAAAAAATTTCATTTCCTCAACTTAACCTGGAATGAAAATTTGGATTTATGAAAAAATGGACGTATTATATTATTTAAAACCAAACAGTTCTTTTCATTTTCATTCATATTAATTACTGCTTAATACCTCTTATCAAACACCCCATAGTTTTAGAGTAGGTTCTTAATTGCTCCCTCTACAGATGAAAGATGAAAACCTTATGATTAAAAGATTGATTAGGTAGCAGAATATAGAAGCTACAATTACAAACAAACTCAATGCTCCTTTATTCATAGATACGATTCTATTCAGAAAGATGTTTGATTTATGGGTATTCTATTGCTGTCGAATGGGGTCCGGGATTAAGGTTTAGTGTCGACCGACTTAATCGGTTCTTCTAAAACACTATTTTTAAGAAATAACATCTGGTGATCAGGCGAAATCGGCCTTGATGTTGGTAATTTTGCAGCACCTAGTGACGCGATAAACTGTTCATGACCCCTCCGCTTCATGAACCTGCAAGATTCATCATCACGCCCATCGTACTGCATTTTCCTCCGCTGCATCTCATCCTTTACTTTCTACAAGAATATAAATCTGTCAGAAGCTCATACATTTGTCAAAAGGTTATTCTGCTGCAATAGTCGACTAAGATACATACATAACCAAACAGGGGTAGACTAAATGCACCCTTATCTCCTAATTTCCTCCCCGTTAACATTATAATTATAATGAACATCAAGACTTACTTTTTACATTAACATAAATAGGGATGCATATAGCGACATCCAACCAAATATACTATTTTTTAGAGTAACCGTGGATCGCTTACAAGCACCGACTAATCCCCGGGCGCCCATGAGGTAGCGTTTGGTATGCAGACTGGATGGGACATGAATGTCCCGGAGCCATCACTAGTGAACTTTCGTTCCCACAAGGGCTTTGGCAGCAAAAGGAAATACTATGATATGTGGATAACAGGATTTCAATAATCGAATATTTTCGGACAGAAAACAAGAGCAAAACATAAAAGAACATTTGATGGAAAACTAAAGATTTCAGCAAGAGTTGCATGGAAAACCAAATAAAGTAACAAAATATTTCATGATTAAGCATTCTTCATAACTTAATTATGTCGGGATCACATCAGGCGAGTAGCATTATTGAAACAAGGGAAAAGGCAATGTATGTTTGATGGATAGAATACCACAAAACAAGAGCATCCAGCTCTAGACACGACTGCTTTATGGTTAAGAATTGTATCTGATTTCTTCGAGTTGGTTTTTCTTTAATCAATAGCTTGCATATGATCATCATTGTTCATTTAAGCTCATTTCTACCAATTATACTCGACCATATGCTAAGCACATTCTTGCTCTGAACTACAATTCAGACGGCTTGCCTTAGGAAATTACAACCAAATATAGTATTGCCTTCATAAATATAATACTAAGGGGAACAACCACTATAAGTGTTCTGCAAAAAAGGTGCCCTTCCCCAAAGGTATCATGTGAGAGGCAAATCAAGTATACATAAGCCCAATAAGTAGTTTGGTTAAGAGAACAGTGCCCACAAGAAACACAATTTCTAAAGGGAGTGCCCACGTGAGGTCAATCCTCAAAAGGAATTGTGACCCTTTACACTTTGGCAGTCGGATTTTGTTCAAGTATACAACCCTGGAACCAATTGTTCTACGCCCTTCGGGGACAATTACTACAAGTTGCCCACAATGCAAACAATTATGCCAAAAACGAGCTCAAGCTCATAGTTAGGGAAGGTTATTTTTTCTTCCCAAAAGACCCATGAAACCACACCTAACGGGAGGAGACTTCAAATGCCCACCCCAATAATTCACAAGCGGGACGTCCAAACTGAACATAGGGTCAATAAATTATCCTAAGCAATTCCCAAGTTTTCAATAAGTTGATGTAAATTCCTAAACCTTAATAAGTTATGTACATTCTTGTTTATGTGCTATAAGAGTATGTTTCATATGCGAGCCGGTATGGATAAAACAGTACAAAAACGTTTGGCAGAGGACAAGACATAACCCAAGTGTACAAAAATGCAAGTTTTATGTCCCACAAACAATCGGTGGAACAAAAATCAAGGTAAATAACTAAACTACACATGTCAAATTAAAACCCTAATAGCTTCCAGAATTCTTTCACCTCACTCTTGCTTCAAAGTGCCAATCGCACCCTCAAATGTTCGATACATAATGACTCCTAAAACCATGACCAAAGATCACAACTATGAAGGTTCCTTCCTAATTGTTCTATGTGCAAAATCTTGGAATTGTAATTGCAATTTATGTGGGAAGAAAAAATGATGTATAATGCGAATCATACTAGCAAAAACCAACCTGCATTAACCTGGAGTCAAATTCCGGCAGTCCAATTTGGCCGACGGTCAATGATCCGAAGAGGTTTCCGATCAAGGCAGCATCAGGAACCGCCAATCCCTGCACTAACCCAGCAACTAACCCTCCTAGAAAACTATCACCAGCTCCGGTTGGATCAACCTGAACAGTCGAAAATGGCGATATCTGCATTTCCCCATCTTTCCAATAGAGAGTGCACCCATCTTCGCCGCTCGTCACCACAACACAACACGATTTCCTAGCTTCCTCCACATCCACATATGGTGCTTCCTCCGCGGAAGCTTTCAAGAACCCAATTCGAGGAAGCAAGTGAGAAAACCCACTTTCCTTTAGCTTCACGAGCTTCACAGTCCCATCTATTTCATCGAAACCCCTGATTAGAGCTTGTATGTCGACGAGAACGACATCACATATATCCAGCAATTTTTCTAGGGTTTCGGGAGATATCTCCCCTGCAACTCCAACTGCCATACCGAAATTGAAATTCGCATCATCCGGCAAATCAGATGAGGAAATCGGGTCGCATGATTGGACCCGTTTAAGAATCCGGTCCTCTCGCCGGATCTCCGATGGATCGGAGAAAAAATAAGCGTGGAAGACGGCGGTTTTCCCCGATGGAGATACAATTGGCGCATGATTGACTTTGACGGTGTAGGCAAAATCAGAACCCACTTTGGATACATAATCGGAAGAGATGTTGAGGCCGTCAAGGACGGCGGAGATGAAGGAAACAGCACCGCCGAGTGTCTGGGCGAGCACTACTTCATCTTTGATAAGAACGTCATGGCAGTAATTACCAACGACCAAACCACGGGGGTGTCGATTTCCTCCCATTTAGAGATGGGTTTGAGAGGAATTGATGATCGGAAGGATGTGGGTGGCAGTGTTTTAGGTTGTTGGAAGATCATAGGTGCATGCTATTGGGTTGAAGAAGTGGGAATGCGAGGAGAATAAGGAGACGACGCGCGGCAAGAAAGAATCGTTTGTTTATGGGGGAAGAGAGGGAGGTGGAGGGTAGGCGATGGTGAGGTGGTGGTTTTTTAACGGAGAAGGGTGGTGGAGGATCAATGGTGGTTTCTCATAGAACTGCGAGCTTACCAAATGGGGGTGGGGATTCCTGCACTCCGTGTCCCATTTAGTTTTCCTTCTTCGTAAATCATATTTTTGGTTCATGTTTCAAATACCTCAAATAGTCTCTTCTTCAAACATTGTTTGTTAGAAGAAACGCCATTAAATGTATTATGTACCCTTCACGTGAAGGGTAATTTCGTCATTTAATCTTTCACATATCTTTCTTTATAGATTTAGATGGATGTTCTCTTCTTACGTTCTAAACTAAAAATCCCAACTATCATCTTCTTCCTTATCATGAGTGTCGGTAACCCACCATTCACATGGTAACTTTTTTCAGGTGAACCCCCAACTCAACCCCACCCACCCCTCCATAAAGATCCATTTGTTCTCGAAAACCCGTTCTTCAAACCCCTCAGTTTCAAGAAGACGACGACGGATAAGGAATGACGCTGAAGCCTTACCTAGATGGAAAACGAACGGGGACGAAGAACGAATGCAACAGGTTGTACATCATCCTTGTGATAGATTTGTGGGTTTCAACGGATCTAAACAAAGGTTTTTCTTATTTTTATCTAGATTTACGTTGTGTTCTCAAAACCTTTTTTTGCGAAGGAAATGAAAAGAAAGTAAAAAAAACTCGGAAAGGGAAGTAAAGAAACTAAAACTCTTTAATAAATGGGTAAATTGCATGAAAAAGTAACGTACTTTAATTTGATTCATATTTAGGGTAACGTAATTTTAAAACTTTCATTTTGGTGACTAAGATGTAAGGTTTTAAACATTTAGGTATTCTAGTAACCAGTTGAAGAATTAACCAATTACCATTTTGATGTGGTATTCAATGTTTCAGCAAATAATTCTGAGTTAGATACCACATCACTCGCCACATGAGCATGGTAACTGGTCGTTATACTTAAATGTTTAAAACTTTACGTCTTAGGTACCAAAAAGAAAGTTTTAAAAGTACGTTACCCAAAATAGGAATCTACTTAAAATACGTTATTTTTTCATGCAATTTGCCTTAAATTTTTTTTATTAGAATTACAAAATTATCCAATCTTTCATATTAAATAATAAATTTTTAAAGAGTATATTAGTAAAAACGGCATCTTTCCCTTTCTTCCTCTCCTCTTCAATGAACATGAAAAGTTATTTTCCTTCTTTTTCGAGAACATAAATAGAAAATTTATTTTCTTTTTCTTTCTTTTCCCTCCTTTTTTTTTCCATCAATTTTTTTTCTAAACTCCAAACTCGAGAACACAACCTTAGGTTATTTTTCATTTTTTATTTTAAGGGGTTTTCTTCCTTTTTTTTATTTAGATTGTGTTAGGATATATGTTTAAATCTAAATTTGAATTTATTTAAATGTGGTTTGAAGTTTGTTAAATTTGGGTTTTCTTGAATGGAGGAAGAAACTGATGAGAAGAAGAAGACATGTAAAAAGACGAAAATGCTCCTCATATAAGGAGCACATAAGTGACTTAACATAACCAATTCTAATGGTGTTAGAAGGTGTTAATTTTCCTTTCAAAAGTTTCCTCTCAAATGCGGTAAGAAAGGAAAAAAAATGAAAAGAGATAAATTATAACATTTAAAAATATTTATAAAATTACATATCTACTCATCAATTACAGTCTGTTGTAACTCTTGAAAACGTACCTTAATGATTTCATTGGTTTTGTTAAATAAATCAAATGACTTGTTGACCTTAATTTGGATCATGTGTGGTTTTAGGATTTTACTTAACTTATGTGCTTTGATGGTGGCACGTTAACCTCTTTAGTCATAAATGTATAAATCTTGGATGATTGCCTTTCATTATCTTTATGGTAAAGTTTAAAGTACAACCCATATGGTTTGGACTTTTTGGCTATTATACTTTAATAAGATGATGGTTTATGGACCTATTCATGTTACACGTGCCATGAGATTCCTAACAGTTTGGAAAATATGTCTTTGTGGTTTACATTGGCTTATTTAAGTAGTCAAGTGTTCTGTGAGGTCTTTTGGCTTGATTTTTACTCAAATCAGTTTGAGCACATTTGTCCGGTTTTTAATAGCTCAATGTGGATCTTTACACATATAATGCATTTATTACATATTGTTGGATATTACATGTTTTGAGTGTGTTAATCGTTCGATTGGAGTCATGTAATTTTAGACTGTAATTCATTGGATCTATAGGCATATGAGTCCGTTATGTTGTTACGTGGAGTTTTGATCTCCACACTAAGTCTAGTGAGTAGTCCCCAAGTCATGGTTTCGGAGCTTACAGTGGTACCTTGTTGGGTCGTGTACGAAGCTAGTAGCCTACGGTTGTATTTTATTGAGTCGTATACGGGCTAGGTCTTGCGGTGATGCTCGTTGGAGCCGTATAGAAGACCAATTACTTTTATGGTGAGACTCATCTAGAGGTGGAGTAGATAGTAGTGCCATTCTGGGAATCTTGCGGTGGTACTTGAGTCGTATACGGGGATCTAAGACCCGAGCTGAAACTCGAAATCGTTGATAAGTGGCTTACTTTTGTGTTCCCTCCAAATTCAATAGAATCAGGTCTCCCCCATCACAAAAATGTGTTGTTTTCGGGTACTTAGTTACCCATGCTTTTGGTGTTTTGAATATAAAGTTTTATCTATACATTTGATGTTTTGGAGTATGCTTTTACGTATGTTTTAGGTGAGTTTGGATATTGGTTTTCAATCTAAAACGAGTATATAATTTGAAAATAACGAGCTTTGGAAAGATATTCCTTTTATGATTTGTGTTTTAAATGAAGATTCGTTATTTCAAGAAAAATGTCCCTTTTAATGGTCTTATGTTTATATGATGAAACTGCTTTAACTTACTAGGCATTAAGCCTAACCACATTTTCTTATTGATATGTATATTGGGTCTTAGTGGGATCTGAGTGACTTTGGAGCTTTGTAGAGGTTCTGGTAGGATGACTCTAGAAGCGTCACCGACTTGAAGATAGCAGACTTGAAGGTATTATTAACCCCCAAACTATTCTAATTCTATTAAGGATCAGATTGTCTCGTTTAAAACTCTGTTGCATCCTTGTTCTCCTTCTTATGTAAAATTTAAGCATTTTGCTATTTAAGTTGTTGTAATTGAAGGAATTTTGAAGTTTTAAATTGTCTGTTATTTTATAAATGTAGGGGTGTTACACCATCCCTAAACCCCGAGGAAGGTGTCACAGGAAAACTACTTGTAAGATATTCAAACTCTTCAAATGTCATAATGAAATATCAAGATTCAACGATATGTACAACTGAAATCAACAAATACAGTGGAAGTATAAATGAATAGAATTGTCCATAATAATGTTCGAATAATCTAGTTCATCACGTACCAAACTAGACAACTGAAATAACAAGATGATCGTCTAAGTTTTCCCCCATTCCCTCTGCATTCATTACTTACCCTGAATTTGAGGTACATGGCATTAGTCAACAATAAAATTCAGTAAGTTAGTGGTTAACATACTAATTGTATACCTCGTTTTGGGAAAAAACACATGAAAAATCACCTCTATGATAATAAGTTAGGAGAGGATGAAAAAAACAACATGATTATAAATATAAGAAATGAGGATGAGATGCATTTGTGACAACTTATGTGTTTGACTCTTTTTCTAAGCTAATGACATCTACCTAATATTAATTGCATTGTTGAACTCTTTTAATAAATAACATTTCCAAACATGGTTTGTAAGTTGAATATGAAAGATCAATTTTGTATAAACCGCCATAATAAATTGCATGAAATATTCCTTGTCTTCCAAAAAAATCCTTTATTTTAATCTTATAAAAAAAGACGGTCGATTATATTGAAGAATATATATATTTTAACTTATTAAAGTTATTAGTTCAGATGTAGGTGGTTGTTCTCTATGGCTATAGAACATTCGTCTCAGGAACCACCATCTACATCTAGAAAGTCGTATGCTTTGCAAGAAACTTGTATAGTTTGGAATCACCCTCTTCATTTTGGGGTGACGAAGGGATCATACCATTTGATGAAAAAAAAGGCACAATGAGGACGCTTAACACGCGTCGAGAGCAACTAACTGAAACAAATGATATAAGCAACTTGAAACGATGGATGTTGGTGAAATTTCAAAATTATACCCACAAATACAATTGATGTTGTTTGAGTGGAAAAATTATACAAATATTGGGCTCATATTATGTTTAAAATAATTGGGCCCATGAGTACTACTTTACCTGTTGAAAGGCCAAATTATGTGAAACAAACCCATATTCTTTAACCATCAATAAAAAATAATACAGATCAATAAAAACATGTTGTAAGGACTTTGATACACATTGTGAACATAATCTATAATCAAAGTTAAACACCCGTAAAGCATATCCGGTGAACCCAAAACCAAGAATATATAGTATCACGATGTAAATTGCTATCGAATATATTGTTTCAGCTAAACATTGTGACCACCTATTTTTTTTACACCTTGTGAACATAGTGTGACACCACGACACTAAAAACAAAAAACGAAAAAAAGAAAAACTAAAATCTTATGGACTTGAAAACACATATTTATTTACATTGTGATCATCCATCTTTTACACCTTGTGACACTAAGAACAAAAATCCAAAATAAAAACAACTACAAGATTCCTAAAAGTATTGGATTTGGATACACATTGTGAACAATTAATTAATGTTTTATTTGAAAATTTATGGATTTCCTTATGAAAACCTGAGTTATATGTGTCGTCAAAAAAGGGTCATAAATTTAATATAAAAACCTAAGTTATACCTATCTTTTAAGTATGATATACATTTTAATTTAATTAAAGTTTATGTTATAAGAAATCAACAAGAAGCATAAGAATTAATTGAGGGTTATTTAAAATTGAAACTTTAAGAGGGATAATGAGTAGCAATAAATTAAGCATTGAACATGTAGATTAGGAGGAGTTGGCCTACTTGGACCTATTGCCATTTTACAATGCCAACCATGTTTTCCCCACAACTTGTTTACTTTACTAATCACACTAATCAAATCAATTATATAT